AAAAAAGTTCTGAAAAACCCTAAATGAAGGTTTGATCCGGATCAAAACCAAGATTGGATTACATGATCTAATCCGATTATGTAATCCGTTTCTTCTTTTGAAAAACCCATTTTCAAGATTTGATCCAATCCATTATCCAAAATCCTAGTGGATTACTTTTGAAAAACCGGGCCCTGGTGATTGAAAGAGGCAGTGCAGATGGCCCATCTGTAGTGGGAGGCTTCAGCAGTGTATGTTCATATTGCTCTGACTCAGTGTTGTCATTCATATTTATATCCAGGACAATCAGACAAGTATGTTGCTTGCTGTATCAGTCTTTTCATAACATCTTTAATGTTTACCGTCTGTTAACCAGGTCTGTGAACTCCGGACGGTCCGCAGTGTGTTCATTCCGCCAAAGTGACATCAAAGCAGTTTTCTCTGGTAACTACAAAGTCCTGAACCGGGACACATTACAGTGGAGCACACGGGTTCAAGAGAAGGTCGCAAATCCAGGAGAGGTAAATGGTCAATCCTAATTGATATGAAAATGGAAAGGAATGGGCACAAGACTGCACATTGTACATTGTTGGGCTCCAGTTCTTGTTACCATTGCTAACTCTGAGAGACGAGGCAGTCCAAGTAACTTCAAAACAGTGCTGATTTATTCAAAGGATCACAGGTAAAATTAACATTACACGCTCAGGTATCTTGCACCTCCAAACTGCACGCAGGCAGATGTAAGGTGGAAAACCCTGAGCCCACCAGGCCTATCACCTCGTTTGGGCTAGCCCCATACTACACAGAAACGTCAACCGGGACGTCTCTGTTACCAGCTTTGCAGCTGGCCATAGCAATAGTCAAAACATGAAGCAAATCAACGTGTGAATGTGTATGTCTGTTGGTTAAGTGGTGTGTAACTAAAAACATTCTCACGACCTCTAGTACATGTCGTGGCTTAAACATAAGAACATATTATGGCTAAGGCTACAGTTATACACATCGTAATAATAATTTTGAACACCCTGTCTGCTGACAGTCATCAACTCTTCTCTCTAGTTATCCTTGACCAGATGTACCCTGTAGAAACTCATAAGCATGACTAAGCATTTAACAGTCTAACTAGACATCCTATCTCCACTAAACATTTCTAATACATAAAGTATCTATCCAATATCTATCTGACTAAAAATACCTAACAAGTTGTAAGAATTTAGTTGAGATTTTAAGCTACAAAGATTTCAACAACATTCACAGAGTTATGAAGGAGCGGTTAGTTTTAAAAAATAAAAATTAAAAAATTATCAAACCGCGGATACCATCCTAGTCGTGGAACAGTGGACCAGCTCTTTACTCTTGCAGGGTTACCTGAAGGATCTTGGGAGTTTGCCCATCCAGTCCACATGTGCTTTGTGGACTTGGAGAAGGCCTATGACTGGGCCCTTTGTGAAATCTTTTAAGAGGTACTTTCGGCGTATAGGGCACTGGGGGTGTTGGT